CCCCAAAACCCCAAAACCCCGAAATTCAAATATAGATTATTGGTCAAAACTTGTTTTAAAAATACATTGAAAATATTAAAATATGTTACTCTTTTAAATTCAATATAAATCTTAAATATCAAGACAACCCTAGATCAATCTTAATTTGTTCTATGTCTAATTTAAGTTGATTCACCTAGTCCTCAAGGGAACTAATTTTGGCTTACTGTTTAGCAATCATTTAATCACTAAGTATTTTTTGAGCTTTTTCTTTCATTTAAGTAAATAATCGATAGTTTTCAAAAGCAAACTCCGGCATATCACTTAAGTCTCCCTCAGTGAAAACGTCTAAGAAAGATTTAAAGAGTTCTTCTTTCAAATCTAGTTCCAGATAAATTTTGTGGGACAATAAAAACTAACTTTTATATTTGTAAAGTTAGGTTCTGCAGTCCATTAGATCCTCTATTTTGTAATTTAACTATTTTTGCTCAATATCTTCGCATAAATGAGAAATATTGTCTCATATTTGTTTTATCTCTTCAAAATCGTACAGCAATTTAATCGCACCTCTTTAGCTTTGAGGATCTAAGTTTTATAATTGAGAATTCTTTAATTGCAAGTAGTCGATTAAGTTTTTGTATTTAATGAAAATTCCAGCTTTCTCTTCCGATTCATAGAAGATAGAGTAAAGATCATCATATTTTCTTTTAAGTTTAAGAACGCTTTTAACTATTTTAGAGCCCATAACATGGACGTAAATCTCTTTGTGATCGTGAACCAATTTCTTATTTTCATTCTTTTACTAGCTGCAGGCCAAACAATAAGTCAATTATTTGGGCTCACAATTTCTTAAGCAAACATAGATTTTTCTAAAGTTAGGATGCACTTCGCAAGTTCTTAAGAATTCAACTTTTTCATCGTCCATTCCCACCAAAGAATTAGAGTGAGTCTACATTCTTTAAAAGTAATCAATAATTGTTTAATTTTTCAATCAGAATTTATACAAATGAATTTTTCTACTCATGGGGTTTTGGGGTTTTGGGGTTTTGGGGTTTTGGGG